CATTTGGTTTTTATCCTGCAAATAAAACCCTGTTGAGAACAACTTGAGAATCTCTGCTTCGACAAACCCGTACAAATCTTCGTTAGCTCTTCTCGGTTGTATGAGCTATTTCAACATATTTCATCGTAATTGTGGTTGGTGAACGAATATTTAATCACTTCTCATTGATAGTATACAGTAGTGCGACACGAGAATTGATGCATATCAAAATAGCCCTGTTTGTTTTTATTACAACCATGGTAATTCAAACTCATTTAAAGAACAATGCATATCATAAAGTAAATTTCATTGTGGGTCAATCCTTACAAATATGAACTAAGTTAGTTAGATACCTCAAACGTCGGCTCTTAGTCAGATAAATCCCTCGGGGCCTACGGCCCCTCGGGTTTGTATCTGACTAAGAGCCTCCGTTTTCGGTATCTAACTCTTACTTAGTATACATGTGATATGAGAATTGATATTAATTGATATTCGAGAGTATTCGAAGTGTAGTAAGCATTTTTTGTGGGTCTAGATAGCAGACATGGAAAATAGTGGGATCTTGGATCTTGAGGATCTTGCCTTAGCGAGGCCGGGTGCAGTTGAAGTTGTTCAACATAGATAGATAGAGAGACTTTATTAAAAGAGGGTGACACTTAATAGTACGAAGTACTAATGAACTTGTGGCCCTCATAAAATTTACAAAAAATTAGGGAGTATATCTATTGTATATTTACAACATTTATATATATATATATATCTATGATTATAAATCGATATTCAGACTTTCAAGTTTACTTAATTAAAAAGGTTATATTACATGAGGTATATATGACATTACATTTATATAAAAGAGAACATTATATAGCTATATTACAATTATATATTACTTAAATTTCAACATCAAATAAAGGTCCTCTATTTCGTGGCTTTGAAGTTTATCGGCTTCTAGCCGATCAAGTAGTGTGTATCGAATTGGATTGCAGGTTGACACTCGCCGTAATTTTGGTAATTTTTGGAAATCTAATCCGAAATTGTCTGACCAGAATCCAGTCCGATCCGAGTTTGTTAACTCGTTCCGATTCGATCCGAAAAAAACTGTACATAAATGTGAAATTTTTAATTTGTAGATTCTATAGACTGTAGTCTTTGCAGAAGCCAATTCGCAATCGGAAACAAGGTAACGTGCTCTTAATCCTGGTTTGGCCATCTTTCTCAACAGCCAATTTATAATAGTTTATACCTGTAAACCACATATAATCTCTAATCACTCCGCGTATTTTCAGTTCTAAAATGTTGTATTTCGGGTGATGAGAAAGATCGTGACTCAGTTTTATGATCGTTACGACCATATGGAAAACCAAGCCGAATGTACCATCACGGAAACGAGGCTGTATAGCGGGGGTGGTTGGCACTCTTCGTTTGGGCTCAGTCATCCAGTTAATATTGAGGTCAGGTAACTTTGACACGCCGGAAGTAATTAGCATTCGAAGGAGTTGGAAGGACTCAGTGCTTCCATTTTCAAGGAAATTTCCTTTTCTAAGGAAATTCTACTGTCGAAAAGGAAAATCTAAGGAAGAGAAAAAATCTAAGGAAATCTAAGGATTTTTTCCGAAAAACTTAAATATTCACCCAAGCGCATTAGTGCAGAAGAAGGTTTCCATTTTTTTTAAAATTTTTGAGTGAATTATCAATTATCTTTAATTAAAAATCTGTTTTTAACTTTTTCCTCGTGTTTCCGGTCGGAAATTCCGAAAATTTCCAAAAGTTTTTAAGCGATAGGATTTAGTAACTTTTGGCGGCAAACGTTGTGAATAGTTAATTAATCATATCAATGTAAAGGTATCTCTTGTAAATTCATAACAAATATTTAATTTTAAACAGTATAATAGCCTGTGGTTCTTAGCTAGCCCATATCTTTGTTAATTGTGTTATTTTATGCCTTGAAAATTAATTAAATCCTTTGTATTGCTGCAAAATCACTGCAAAATCACTGCAAACTGCTTCATGAAATTTCAAGGAATTTTCAAGGAAATAACATATACAATCTAAGGAATTTAGAGAAATTTTGATGACAAAAATGAGAAGTTTTGATTTTAAAAATGGAAGCACTGGAAGGACTCGACTATAAAATTTTAAAATGTTTCCAGGTTGATTTTTTGTATGGCAAGAAACGATCATTCAGGCTATCCATTGAAGTGGTTTAAGGATCAAAATGCAACAAGAAATGCTTATGAATGTGCCATATGTTTGGAAGTTTTGAAAGATCCCGTCCAAGTCCGTGATTGTGGACATCAATTTTGTGCTCTCTGTATTGATGATATTCTCAAGTTAGTTTCACTTTCAATATTTTTCTTTGACATTTACACAGCATGACTGCATAAGCAAAGTACATTTAAAACTTCAAGAAATATATAAACATAAACTGCTGTTCATATTTTACCGTATAACAAAATATATAACTTGTTTTATAATTAATAATTAATAACTTCAGAAGTGCAACAACTATAATAGTTAGCAATTTCAAATTCAGCAGCATATATTTCTTTTTCAGGACAGATCCTCGTTGTCCAACATGTAGAATTGAAATATCAGATGTGATGGTATGCTACCTGGAAAGTTAATAATACCTATATATAATTTATTCCTGTGGATATTCATTAGGCAGTGCCAGCTAATGGACAACTCGAAAGCATTCTGTAATACATTGGGATTCTGTGTTGTATCACACCAACAACAATTTATTGAAGTTGCACATGTCATATAGGTTATTTACAAAAGTGAAGAGTATAATAAGGTTATAGTGAGTAGTATATAGATATAAATTAGATGCCCAAGTCGCTTGCTAGGGACCGCGCGTAGCAAGAAGGGAGCGCGCGTAGCAAGAAGGGAGCGCTTGAGAAAGATGGAAGCGAGCGACTTGTGTCACTTGCCTGATTTTGAATCTTACTGAACAATTTTGCGCGAAAATCAATTATGACATAGTGGGCGTTCACTATGTCGATTTCACTAGTTCATTATTGTTTTGGCGTCGTTAGTACAGAATAATAATGAGCATTCACTGACGTCACCGGAGCAAAAATGCACTGGTGACAAAAGTCCGTCGCTTCCAGGAACCACGAACCATGGACTTTGGAAAGTCTAGATATAAATTGGAGTTAAAAATTCATTATGTTGTGCGCAGTGGACAAAGTAACTTAATGGCTTAATAACCAACTGGAGTTCTGCACCGGTCAACTGGGGTTCACAGTTCAAATCATGGGAAAGGTCTATTTCAAGCCATGAGTTTTTAACCCAATTTGAGCACCTGAGCACTAGCTCCCCCAGCTTGATGATAAAATTGTCTGGCCAGCATTAGACAGAGTAAACTAATAATAAAAGTAGGGTGCATAAATTTGGGGCACAAATTAGTGGCTTTAAACTAAGACACATATGGGCAATCATAGTCTGATTAACCCATTGAGTGCCTCAGCACTCTCAGTCTAGTAGAATTAATTGTCTGGTGTTAGACAGAGTATAAAATTATGCCTAGCTTGCATTGTACCGTAATTTATTCAGTATATAAGGCAATTTTTAAACCAAAATTATATCTGTTTATTAATAAAAGTAACACCTACCCAACAGTTTCTCTATGATGTGTGTTATAATTTATATTATAATATATAGCATTTGTAAATTCTGAACACTGATTGGCTAAGAGCCGTGTTGATATAACTCAATGTCAACACGGAAATTTCTTTCTTTATATTAAACTTTGTGCTATATTATAAAACAAATATAAAACATTTTTTCCGTATTGATATATAGTTATATTAACACTCATGGAAATTAGGAAAACTCGAAATTGTGCGAAAACACTCCGCCCTTCGGGCGTTGTGTTTCCACACAATTTCTTGTTTTCCCAATTTCCATGCACTTGTGTTGATATAACTATATAATTTATCAACACGGAAAATGTTTTATATTTGTTAAATGTCACCCTTAAATTCTGTTTCCCTGGCCCAGGCATGCTGCTAAATGCAACCATGGTAATTATTTCTTCTAATTATTAGATTTTTGAGGACCATGCTGCAAGGAGATTGATTAAACAACTTGTTGTCAATTGCTGTAATGCAGGATGTAGCTGGCAGGGATGTCTCGGTTCTCTACTGCAGGTACGGCGTTTGTTGTTAAATTGCCTTTTAATTAATCATTAGTCAAAACCATATATGCAGGCTTTTATATCAGGTAGGGGTGCACCGGAACTCAAACTCGGTTCCGGCCGGAACCCCGATTTTTCAGAGTTCCGGTTCTGGCCGGAACTAATAAAAAAAGCATGACCGGAACAACCGGAACTCTGTCGTTTTTGGGGAGATAGAATATCAAACGTTTTTGTGTCTAACAAAAGTTCAGAGTAGGAAGAAATTTTGCAGGAACTTTTTTCCAGTTTCGGTCGGATCCGGTTCCGGCTGGAACTTAAAAGAATTGGTTCTAGTGCACCCCTAATATCAGGCATTATATATACTTCAAATGTAGAGTCATCAGAATAATTGCAACTTTTCAATCCACCGTGGCAATAATGTTGATGAAAAAGTGGAAAAATTGGAACAAACACTTGAAACCCTCATGATGAAAATTTCAACTTTGGAAAAGAAGGTGATCATTTATTATTAATTTATATTTTTTAGTCACATGAGTCGATAGTGACTTTATATTTTACATTTGTTTCATTTCTATAGTAATTTAAATATGTTGTATGATTGTTTAATTATTTTATATATAGTATGAAGAAGATAGTAAAGAACTTAAATTGAAGGTAATTATTTATAATTGCCAAAATATGGCACAATATGGTGCATAAAGAATTAGCATGGGGGCAATTTACTCCCCAGAAAAATAAGAAAATTTTGGTCTCTGAGTCACTCCTCCCCCTGCCTGCCAGTAGCTGAAACAGCATTTCCAGGATTGTGGGACTCAACTTAATTGGAGAAAACATATTATTTCTTAACTTAAATATACATTATACTACTGTATATTTAAAAATAGAAAATTTTGTATGCACTACATAAGTTCTAATTCTGTCATTCTTACATGACTATATGTTTAGTTCTGATTGCACAGTAATGTGAATGTGTTTAGCGAACCGAGTTTCTCGCAAAGCCGTCTTACAACACTTTTTACTTGACAATCAATATTATATCTATAACAATTAAACCATTTGTTCATTGAGTGAAAATTTCAACTTTGGAAAAGATCAAGGTGCATGCAGATCATTTATGATTTGTATTTTTAGTGACTTTATAATTTACATTTGTTTCATTTCTAGTAATTTTTATGATTGTTTAATTAATTAATTCATTTATATAGTACGAACAAGATAGTAAAGAACTTAAATTGAAGGTATTACTTATAATTGCCAGTGAAAATATATGGCACAATATGATGAATAAAGATTAGCATGCATGGGAGCAATTAGTATACTCCACAGAAAAAATTGAAATTTTGGTCTCAGTAGCTGAAACAGCATAATCCAGGATTGTGGGAATCAACTTGGAGAAAACTTAAGTGTAAAGGTCTGTAAATAAATCACCTTTGAACAGTGTATATTGATTTCAGAATGCTTGACAATTTTTCAGTGGGAGACAATTTACTGTATAATTGTCTCATGCAGTTAGAGCATATGTTGTATTAATTAGAACAAAGTTCAGTAGGTTAGTAAGATTCTGTCAGTTAAAGATTCTTTGTGTGTAAGATATGCAACACTGTCTGCTGACCTGACGTGAAGTGTGGAAAAAGTAGGAGAGCATGCGAGTACTGCTCGCAGGAAATGTTAAACAGCTGCAGGAAATTCATTTGAATGAAGATTTGCTTTTGAAAATTTGAAGGAAACCTTAACACCCAATTGTCCCACTATTAGGAGCAACAACATATGGTTGACAGACAATTTATTTCTTGAATTTAAAACCACGGTCAGCTAGAACACTATATATTTATGCACATGCAGATTTAGCACCAAAATACTCCAGGTTGTGCTCCCTAGGAAGAAAATATTTCTTTTTTCCTGCTCTGCTAATCTAACAATTTTCCACTCAGGGCCCCAATTGTTTATCTGCAGATTTGAACAAATTTTAAACCACATACACTCTGAAAAGCATTAGAGGTGGCAACTACCCCCCTGCCCCCCCCATTTTACCATTGCTCCTGTCTTTTATTGAAGACATATAAATACTACTTAGATACATGCAAATGGTGTAATTTAAAATTTGTAAGTTTTGCATTATTAGAGTTGCATTCCTTCATATAGTATGTAATGCTGTGCTGTACATACACTGTACACGCGTAAAAACGCTGAGCCTGTTGTTTGACAGGATTGAACAATTATTGTTTTGCTGCCCACATTGTTTACACTTATCAACGCGATATTAAACAATATTGCTGAGCCTGAATAGGGTGTGACAATATTGTTCAATGTTGTTGATATAACTGTGAACAATGTGGGCAGCAAAACATTGTTCAATCCTGTTTTCATCAACTATTGCAACAACCTGATCATTTTTAGCCATGTAAATGACAATTTGTCATATTACGTACTTTATATAATTTTACATTGATTTTATTTCTAGTAATTTATATATTTATTAATTACTAGCATGAACAAGATATCAAAGAAGTTAAATTGAAGGTAATTGCCATGCAGATGATACAACATGCGCATGATATACTCCCTGTGAGTTAGTCAATCTGATCATGTTTAATTTGTTAAAGACATATATAGACAAAGTACATGCAATGGGTTGATATATTTGTTTAAGTGTTGCACCAGTGCATTGGAGTGCAATTATGCATAAAAATAATGTGTTTTTTGTAGGGTGACAATTTGTCACCATAAAAGAATTTTCTTCTCCATAATTTAACATATTACTCATTAGTCACAAACTGGTATGCATATATATATATACCCAGGTGTCCCCCAAAAAACTATACACTGGTTGATTTCCTCTAACGTAAAAACTATAAACGATATATTGCACTGAAATAACTTTCATTGTATTCAGAAGGGCCATGCAACTTTACTTTTGAAGAAAAAACCCCATTTAATTGTCTGTGCAATATTGACGATTAAGATACAGGCAGGGTCTTAGCTAGGATTTTAGATCTTGGGCGTGTTTCTGATGACCAGGGTCTGCACATGTCAATTACCTTGAATAGCCAAATCACGGTTCTAGTTATGCTCGCCAACAACAATGTATGTGGTTGTTCTGTGCTTTGCAACCAAATACAAGGCGAGCATATACTCATATTGCGCACTGACATTAGAATATTAAGTTATTTCAGCAACTCTTGGGGGTATTTAAAACCATTTTAACACCATACAGTTCCCATTATCCATCAAAACAGTAAAACATCACGGATCACTTCTGCCAATTTCAACAACAATTAACAGTAGATTTTACAAACTTTCTTACGACGTAAATATAAAGAAATGCTGTCTGTTGTAAGTAGCACCACCTTATTTTAGAACCTACACGGCCTTATATAAATAATGAAGCCGTGTTCATTTTATCTAGCCGTGTTCTTCCACTTTTGGCCGCGATAACACGGCCAACACGGCCCTCTAGCTAAGACCGTGGATACAGGTGTTGGACGTTGCATGGCGTTTTAGAAATTATATAGCGAAAAAACGTCAAAATTCAGCTTATCAAATTAACTAATTGTCACTTTACATCAAAGCTTTTTAACCTCAGTGATTTTAACTTTAAGTTCAGATTATTCCCTAGCATATTTACTCGTTCGGTTAAATAAAGTAATAATTTACGTTAAAACAAACTTTAATTGAAAACGTGTATTTGATGTCCCTTGGGGTGCGTGTAATATACCTTTTATAGTTTTTACGTTACAGCTAGGTATTTTTTAATTGATACTGGAGATTTCTCGTATCAGGCATTCCTATTTTTTCTCACTGATAATTGAAGGCTATATGTTTTATGACCACATTTGGTGCACGCGATAATGTTTAGTGAAACCACTTTATAATGTGCGCGTTTTCTTGTCTATTTCTACAGCTTGAGCAAAGTGAAAATCGTTGGCAGCTACTAGAGGAGAAACAAAGAGAATTGTGTGAGAAAGAAAAAAAGACTGCTGTATGTTATTTCAATTTTTTAATATTATTTTCTGTTTATGAACAGGACTTGCGAAAAGAAAGATTTTTCTGATGTTATTATTGTTATGTATAGCCTAACGTCATCCTCATTCAGAGCTATTATGCAGCTCAGCTAGGTACTATAATGGGACTGCATTCAGAAATGAATTTTTGAATTTTCTTTTGTTTTCGACCTGTTTACTATGACGAAAAATATGTAGTTGATTTCAGGTTTTGTTAATTAATGTGCTATGTTTATAACAAGACAATGTATATATATAGGAAACTTAAGCTTTAGACTTTATATATGCTTTATACAGGGTGTATCAAAATAAACGCAATTCATGTTTTGTGCTTAATAACTTTCGAAATACTATTTCTAGTTAAACGCTTTTAGGCTTACTTCAAAGCCTGTTCTTTTCTCTTTCAAACAAACTATTATCATTGTCTCCAATGCTAGTAATAATTGCACAGGAAAAGATTTAGTAAAACCTATCATTTTTAGTTGCTGTTTAATTATGCAAGTTTACTATGTTAATGTTTAGTTGGTTTAAATGTTAGAATTTTCTTCTTTAAACTTTAATGTTGTCGTCACTACATCTGGAAAACCACGTAAGAACAAATTAAAAGTATTTTAAAAGAGACCAGGTTGTTTGAAAATCCTAAACGAATGCTAAAAATCGTCAAAACATTCTGGTGTCTGAGCCAAAGTGTCATCGAATTGCGATGTAATGTAAACAGAAATTATAGCAAGTTGATGTCAGTCAGTTTAGATGGTCCAAGCCAAAATTATATCGCATTTGAAATTTCAAACTGAGTTAAAAATAGTGGAAGAAAAGTCGTAATTATACTTATTGTTACAATCCATTTAATAAAATGCAACATTTTTTTGTTTTAATGAAAAAATCAGTTATTTTCATGAGAACGATTTGTTATTCCATCTCACTTTTTTTAATCTCCAATCGCAATAACGTAAAGTATTATTACCCGCGAACCAATGAGTCAAATTTAAGAAACAACCCACTGTTAGAAAGCTGAATGGCTACGCTTTAAAATGAATGTAAACTTTAACGTTTTCGTCTATTATTTGTTTAGCAATTTACATTTCAGTCGAGGATTGCGCTTTTTTTGATACACCCTGTATATACACTGTAAATCTGGGAGTGTTACCACAACACCGAAATCGGTGTAAATTCTTGCAGCTGTGTGGACACCGATTTAGTGTTTACTTACACTCATTTTGGTGTTAAAATACACCTTTTCAGTGTTAAATAGATGCAGCTGTGTGAACACCGAATTGGTGTAAATCTACACTACGAGTGTAAAATAACACTTCCGAAGATCTTTTCACACTCTTTTGGTGTAAATAGCTTCCAGCTGTGTGAACACCGATTTGGTGTAAATCTACACTACGAGCGCAAAATAACACCTCCGAAAGTATTTTTACACTGTTTTGGTGTAAATAGCTTGCAGCTGTGTGGACACCGATTTGGTGTAAATCTACACTACGAGCGTAAAATAACACCTCCGAAGATATTTTTACACTGTTTTGGAGTAAATAGCTTGCAGCTGTGTGGACACCGATTTCGTGTAAATCTACACTACGAACGTAAAATAACACCTCCGAAGATATTTTTACACTGTTTTGGTGTAAATAGCTTGCAGCTGTGTGGAAACCGATTTCGTGTAAATCTACACTACGAACGTAAAATAACACCTCCGAAGATATTTTTACACTGTTTTGGTGTAAATAGCTTGCAGCTGTGTGGACACCGATTTCGTGTAAATCTACACTACGAGCGTAAAATAACATTTCCGAAGATATTTTTACACTGTTTTGGTGCAAATAGCTTGCAGCTGTGTGGACACCGATTTCGTGTAAATCTACACTACGAGCGTAAAATAACATCTCCGAAGATACTGTTTTGGTGTAAAGCACCTTGCACATTACTGGTGTTAATCTACACTACGAGCGTAAACTAACACCTCCAAAGGTCTTTTTACACTGCATTACGTACTTACTGAATACAGCTGTACTGATATGGTTTGTGATGTAAATGTACATCCAATTGATGTCTAAAGTAGCTATATTCAATATAAACTTAATGTAATGTAAAAATACCTTTTTGTATAAATGCTGCTTAAGATTGTATGTTATTAACTCAATTTAACTGAATTACTAAATTAAAACAATGAAGAGAATAGAAAGTACAAATGTAAATTATATATTTTTAGAGTTTAAAACTATAGTCTATGTTACATATTTCGATTCAGTTGAATCATTTCAACATTAGTTTATATCAGTCACAATCCAAATTAAAGTTCATATTACCAGTACAGGCGATTTGAAACCAATAGAATCTTTGCTGAATGGCACTTTGACACAGTCGAAGAAGAACACATCACTATATTGTAGCGCACAAAATCTAAAAGGTTTTGGTGTGCAACTGTCCTTCGTTAAACATTAAGTGGCCAGCAGGTTCCCTTGAAAGATAATTACTTTGCATTAGAGATTATTATAAAGAGTGCACTGTACCTTTTGTGGGTTTATGAGAAAGTATCAAACAACTTATAGAACAAACCCAATCTAATTTTTTGTTGCTGACATGTCAGAGTAAATATTTGAGATTTGGGTGGAAAGTCTGGCTAAACTATCAACAAGTACCACTTTTTAGGGCAAGTCGAGTGGTTTAGGGCATAGTATGATTTAAACAAGGCACATTGGCAGAGAGACCGTTTAAAACCAATTAACCAGAGGAGTAAACTTTTCTGGGATTAACATTTTTAGTCACAGTAAATAATAAACATAGTACATGTATATGCACTTTAAGTTTAATTCACTGTGAAGTTCTTTTGTATCATTTCAAATCAATATATTATAAAAAGCATCACTTTATACACAGTTTATATCTTAATTGTGTAAACGTTCTCTGGTTAAAAGATTTATTTATTACAAGCTTTCGACTGCCAGTCTGCAGTCTTTGACGGGTCTCCGTCTGCAGACTGGCAGTTGAACGCTTGTAATAAATAAATCTTTTTAACCAGAGAATCCTGGTTTCGCTTCCAACATTTTTAAAATTTATATCTTATTTTATATATCCTACATATATTTTATAATCACTCTATATCCAGTATTTGGCCGGATAATCTGGTAGGATATTTTCCATCCGTTCGGCATATATGGTATTCGGCTGGATAGTAAAATGTTCTATCAGGTGCATCCCTAATGCATAATAATTTCATTCTCATGGTAGCGGCAGGGAAATAATTAACACACAACTCTAAAGTTGCAATGACATACAATATGAAGTAACTGAAGCACATTTAAATTCAACCAGTTCTAGCTTGCTGCACATGTGTCTCAGGGTCTGTTATACAATACCAGCTTTTCCCTTTCAGAACATGCCCTCCTGTGCCAATTTGTCTACAGTCCAAGTAAAATTTGTAGATAATCCTAACTAATTACCCCAAAACCTCATTAGCCTAAGTCAATATTTTTATTAAAGTTATACACCTGTCTTTTTTAAACTTTTTTCTCCGTCACATTGAGGGCTACCTTTAGGAAATACCTGGTTGCCAGATAAAACAATTGGTCACAATTGACGTTCACCTGGCATTTGGTCATTTCTAGGGCTGCACCAGATAGACATTTTTGACATCCAGCCAGATTTCAGCTATGTCGGATAGTTGAAAGAAAGATATCCGCATTATCCAGCTGAATACTGGATACTGTTGATATAAAGGTTTAGACTTTCATTTAAGATAAATAATTAGTTTAATTGATTATAAAATGAGGGTGTTTATTATACTTTGACTTGAAAAGATACTTGAATTATAGGAAATAACTTCATTCTAAACATGGGTATTGCCAAAGCCTTGTCCACAAAGTTCAAAGGTCAAATCCAGTATCTGCCAATATACTGGATAGTAAGATTATCTCACTATCTGCCGATAGAGGGAGAGGGAAATTGCCCTGGGCCCCAACCTTAATAGGGCCCCAACTTGAGAGCCTAAAATTGAGTAGGTCCTTTAAATTGATGAGAGCATTTTTGAAATTGAGGGCCGCTTACAGTAGCTCAACATGCAGTCTAGCTAAGGTCTAGTCATGGGGCCCCCAGAGAAGATTTGCCCAGGGCCCTGCAAATTCTCTCGGCAGCCCTGAGCCTGGATATGATATCCGGTATATAGTCATTTCAAACCTTTGTCCAAGCACAGGTAAATTCACTCAGTAAGAATGTCATTTTATCTGTTCCGTACGGTGGTACATTTTCAGAGGGCAATGTAAACAGCTCTTATATAGCAATAAAGACAGGTGCTTTGAGCTGACCTGCCTGAAAAGTCTCAAGTAAACATGGATGAAATTCTACTTGGTTGTTGGTACAACACTATGTACAATGAACTCTGGTATCTGGGCTACCTCGGTTCCATATAAACACACAACTTGACCAGGGCCGTAGCTAGACCGATAATTTGGGGGAGGGGGGGGGGTATATTCATATATTCGTGCTCTGCCCAGATGGATTTCTTTTGAAAGCGATTGTTTTTACGGTATGTGAACATGAATTTATTTATATGAATATACACCACCCAAATTATCGCGTCTAGCTACGGCCCTGAACTTGATTCATAAGTCATAAACATTTACTAATTATGGCATTATGCCATATTAGTGTCTGCATAGTACTTCTTCAGGGCAATCAGGGGATCATATATAATTTTTGAGCTTGGAATTCCTCAGAGGTATAACTATGAGAAACATGATGTTTGTGATGTTACTCTGAGTGTATATCCACACCGAGCAAGCTTGAAAAATTTATATGCCTGGCCACGGTGGGAATCGAACCTACAACCTTTGGAATACTAGCCCAATGTAGGTACCAACACAGAAAAAATTATGAAAAACATATATCCTGGATGACTTTTTCTGTGTTGGTGTAATGTACTCAGGTGAATATGATGCTTGTGATGTTGCTCTGAGTGTATATCCACACCGGACAAGCTTGAAAAATATGCCTGGCCATGGTGGAAAGCGAACCTACGATCTTAATTGGAATATTAGCCCAATGCTCTGCC